CATGGTTTTTTAAGTTTAGAGATCGACTATGACTAATTTTGACAAAAAAAACTGAAGGATTCATAATAAATTTTACCCTTTAAAGAATGTGTAACATTTCATGGTTTAAGAACTTCACTTGTTACAACATTAAGTTATTATTGTGAGTTCTTATATTAAAGTTATCTATTATATCATCGAACCAACTAAGTTTTTAAACAAACAAATGAAACAATTACAAATCATACTTGAAAGAAAATATGTAGTTTGCAAGTTTACTCAAAATTACCAAGGAAGATGTACTGTTACCAAGTGATTATTGTGGTAATTTTCAAGAAAAGTAGCGCACATCATTACTTGCATGTTTGTGTATTTGAAGTTATACATTGATACATATTTTAAAACTGAAAGTTTTGGTCTTATTCAGATATTATCTAGATTTTTGTATGGTAGAAGCAAAGAAGCTCTTTCGTTCAGCATGACCACTTACTACAAACACATAAAATTGCTTATGTTGCAGCACTTTCTCTTGGATCTTGCATTCTTTTGAATATTAATCCACATTCCACATATTACGTCGTATTATGTGTCTTCATGTCATAAATTCTTACAAGCCATAAAAATGTTTAGGAAAGAAAAGTAGCCCCCTACCTTGACTTTGATAGAGACCATGAGAAGAATCTATTGCGCTACTGTTAGTGATGGGCCTATGTATGCCATGCCCCAAATATGGAGAGTCTACTCTTGGAGAAAAGAAAATAAGTAATGAGGTAACACCTGCGAAAAGATTGATCATTGACAGTGAGGATCTCTTTGGATACTTGCTTAAAATAGCTATTGGAAACTCTTTTACTGAAAACAAAAATACTCTTTATTTTTAGTACAAGAGTTTTCAAAATTTTACTCATAAATTTATATTGAAAAGACTAAGTGCGGAGAGTTTATAACATAGCCTTAATTGGCATAGAAACTTCTTCTCTAAGTAGCATAGTCTCTGGTCAAGAATCATATAGGATCTGGTTTATATGATTCTTCTTTTCATAATTAACATAGTTTCACTTTTCTTCATTAATTTCACTCATTTGTAGATATTTACTTCCATTACTGTTTTTATTGTTAGGGATCCTAACAAAATTGGTCTACCCTACCAGACTATGCATGCCACCAAAAGTATTTGATCGGATGGATATATTTTGGGGTCTGAAAAGTTGTCATTGGAGGAAGCATTGATGGAAATTCAGACTTTGCTCAAATTCTAACTTCAAAAATTTCCAAAATTCCTTACTCCAGGAGGTATAGGAAAGATATTGGTGCAGCATACAATTGTGGGTTACCAAAGCTGAAGTTCATTTTGATTAGGGGTGGGCAAAAAAAACTAAACTGAACTGAACTGAACTGAACTGGTGGTGAACTGTACTATAAAAAACTGAACTGTTTGTAAAAAAAAATTGAACTGAACTGTTTTAAAAAAACTGAACTGAACTGAACTGTTGTAAAGTTGAACTGTACTGAACTATAAAAACTGAACTGAATTATAAAAATTGAACTATTTTTATAAAAAAATAAAAATTAAATGTGTTTAACATGTTATGTCTTAATAGATTAACTCGATAGTTTAATAACCAAAATTTTAGAAAAAAAGTGATTTGAAAAAAAATTGTATCAATTTTGTTGAACTTAACGGATCAATTGAGCTATGTTGAACTACTTATTTTTAGGCTTAAAATTCACTGAGTTTGTTTGACTTAATTTTATATTTTTTTCCTCTGAAAAATTTAAATAAAATGGAAAATAAAGTAAAGTTGACAAATGTGTCCTATTTTGATAGATAAATGAGTCAAAATTGTTCAATTCAAAATATCATAACAGTTTAGTGCAGTTTAAATTACACTTCAGTTCAAGTTTTTATAGTATAGTTCAGTTCAGTTCAATGACACAAAAGAATAGTTCAGTTCAGTTCGTCTAAACTAATATTTAGTTTAGTTCAGTTCATATGAACTACTTTTAAATTCAGTATAGTTTTTATAAGTTCAATTCAGTTCAGTTCGTTTTGCTCACCCCTAATTTTGATGTACAAAAGGAAATGATCACTTTATTGGAAGTGGGCCGCGTAACAATTGGAGCCCAAAAGATTTGAGCCCAATAGAGAACAAAGGGATTGTCAGGTATAGCTTTACTTAATAATAATATGATTTGGCATGATATAGCTGTCACTAGCTATATTCATGTTTTTAAATTTCGGAGATTGAAAGCCATATACATACATTTCTTCATTATTGCATGTGGAGTCCACACGTGATAAAGGGATTGTGGGGTATTCTCGGTTGTAAAGCTAAAATACAATTGTTTTTCCTTCATTATTGTATATTTGTGGTACTTTCCATAAAATTGCTTCTAAACCTGCAAGATCAGTAGTGACACTCCAAAACATACATGATAAAGGTTTACAGCTGTTTTCCTGTAATCTCCGTCAGTTATTCACTTTTGTCCAAAGAAAAGAAGAGCCAAGGCTTATTTCAAAAGCTTGCTAATCTAATAATTTTAATTTAAAATTTATTTATTTAAAAAAAAGGATGTTACATATATATACAATTTCAGTGAAAATAAAATCGATTGTATTGGTTTTAATAAAGCGTGACTAAATTATTTAAAAATAAATTCATCTTTACTTTTTTTACTTGAACTCATAATTTTAAGCAACTTCTCAGTGTCATTTTACATATTTTATGATAAATTTCAAGTTTATCTCTAAGTTTATATATATATATATAT